ACAGAGCCCTTCCTAGGTCACTGGGCCACTTGGGATCAGTATCATCCTGGTACAGGTAAAGAGGGGGCGTCCAAGGAGAGGCCGAGAATCTCTTGAGGAGCTCTCAAGGCCTTTGGTCACCGAAGTCAGAAGGAAGGAGCCCAGGCGTCCCTCTTAGGGGAGCACTGGGGCAGCCAGGGAGGATGGGGCAAGGAGCAGCAGGGTCTGAGGCCCACCGACCTGAGGTTCTGATGTCATATCTGCTGGTTACAGAACTTAACCTTGGGGTCTGGACACAGTGGGTCAGGAAGATGGTCAAAGTGGCAGCAACTACGTGCTTCCGAGCACAGGGCCACGGCCTGTGGTGCACCTGCTACCCTGTTACATTCTTTGGCTTGTCCTCATCCACCCCCACCACTGGGCCTCCTCTCATTTCCAGGAAGAAGGCCACATGAGATAATGCAGAAAGGAAGCTCACCTCCAATTTGAGACGTCCCTGGCTTCTAATTTAAAGGCAAAATGGAGCAGGCTGCATCATGTCACACACTCAGTTTTTAATGAAGGAGCTCTGTTTAGTTTCTCCCTTAGCAACTGCCCGACTGGACAAGGAACAGGAGAAAGACTGAGACAGAGCCTGTCATCCCTCTTCCTCTCAGGTCCCTCTCAGGAGGCTCTGGACTGTTCTATGTGCTGCTATCTTTGAGATGCCTCTGTGTACTGATGAGCCATAAATCACCCAGCAGGGGGTGGGGGGCACTCAGCTGTGTGCATGTGCAGGGCAGGGGGAGCAGGAGGGAAGCAGGGTGTGGGAGGAAAGAAAGGAGGAGAGGCTAATGCACAGGGTTTCTCTTTGGGGGGCATCTTGTTGCTGCTTTCCCCCTCCCCCTCCTCTCTCAGCTGGGTCACATCTGCCAGGAGGCATCCTCACCAGAGTCAGTGGGGGACATAACCTGGTGCCAGGAGGGGTGTGCAGGCAGGCCGCCCCCGCCCCCTCCCCCTGACTCCCTGCCACCCCCACCATGAGGAGAGAGTCGAGAGGGCGGGCACTCTGGCTGGTACTTCCCTGCAGTCTGCAGTGCTTCATCCCTCATCTGGACAGCCACATGTGTGCAGGGTGGCTCCCAGTGTGAGAAAGAGAACGAGAGGAAACCGGGTTTGAGCAACAGGGACAGTGGCTCTAGGAGACACTAGGAGTCTTCCTATCAAAACATGAAGGCTAGACCCTTCTGGAGGGACAGAAACTTGGGCTTTTCAACTGCTCCCCTTCCTCTAATCCCTCTAATCCAAAAAGCAGAAAGACATTAGAGACGGTCATCAAAGCACAGCAGAATGGTCCCCTGTAACCCACCACTTAACCCTGTGAAGTGTTACCAGCCAGAGACTGAGGTTAAGAAGCCAAAATCTAAAGGAGACAACTCCTGCTGGGTCCATGCCCTCCCCCTGGCATCGCCAAGGTCAATTCCATCCCCTCTGCAAGCTTTCTTCCCTACCTTCCCCTTCACTTTAGCCAGGCTGAGTCCCCATTTCAGATCAAAAGTCATTCATTCTGGAGAGAGGTCAGATTTTTATATATTTTTTTTAAAAAACGGAGTAACCAGATACCTTGCATATTTAGGCCCAGACAAGAAGAGCTGGGAATAGTAGGAAAGGCAGAAGAGGGAGTATTTCCTATAGAGCAGAGAGGAATTGACTTTAAGAGCAGAAAAGATAGAGTCCTGTTAGCCCAGTGGTCTTCCAACCACAGGTCACTGGGTGGAGAAGGACTTGGAGGAGCTGCCAAGTCAGAAGAGCATCTGACACGGCCCATCAACCCTCTGGTTTCTTGGTCCCCTGTGTCACCCAGTTGGATGGTGGAGACACAGCTATGGTGTGGGAGTAGATGGCCCTATAGAGGGAAAGACCTGCATGGCACGGGGCTTTAATCTCATGGACCTGAGGTCTAGGGGCAGGGCACAGAGCCAAGAGTTTCAAGCATAAGCCTCTGCCTAATTTCCCTGTTCCTGGTTCTTCAACCCAGGCTTTCCCAGGCAAAGGAGGTAGGGGTGAAGCAGAAGAAACAGGTCCTGGAACAGGCCTAGGTAACCAGGACCAAGACTGAGCTGATGATCTTGAACATAAGAAGTTGAGAAAGGACAGAAAGTATCTATAGGAAATGTTCTTAGTATTAATAACATCCCAAATTCATCTAGCATTTTATTATTGATGAAATATTTTCATGCACTTTATTTGATTTTCACAACCACCTTGGGAAAGTAGGGTGTCAGGCACAGCCATGGTTAGTGAAGGCTCTTTCCTGACGGACCTAGGACTGACCATTGTCCAAATTTTAAAAACAGGAAATCAAGTTTGAGCCAGTGATTCTTCCATAGCAGTAGCATGAGAGGTGGAATCAGGACTCAAATCCAGGTCTGGTGACAGACCAACACCTTCAATTGCAGAAAAAAAATGCCAGACCAACTTCCCCCACCTGCTACATAACCTCCAAGCAGACTGCCTTCACCCCAAAAGGAACACAGGGCTAAAGTCCTTCTGGGCCTTAATATTCTTACAAGTGGAGAACAGCCATAGACCACTTTGACATGCTGAGACTAACAGCAGCGTCCACTTCCTAAGGCCTCATTGGAAAGGCCAGCCCCCGCCTGGATTACTGAGGTGGCCCCAAAGATGGTACAGAAGGGAAAAAAAATGTCAAGAAGTTAAAGCTGGGGAAGCTGGACACACTTCCTTTCTTCACCTTGCCCACTCAGCAGAATGCACCCAGCCAGCCACTCTATTTGGATCTTTTCAAAGAGTTAGCTTTAAGCAGAGGTCATTCTGATGGGATCTCAGCATAAACTGCCTGGTTGTTTGTAAAAATCTTGAAAGGACCCCAAACTTAAGTGTTTACTTGTGAGCCAGATGTTCTGAAACATTAAGGTCCAGGCAGGACACTCCACAGGAGCATTCAGATTCTTAGGTAGGTAGGACACACACACTCTTGGTGAGGGGTAGGGTGTCAGGCACAGCCATGGTCAGTGAAGGCTCTTTCCTGACGGACCTAGGACTGACCATTGTTTCCCTGTGATGCCCTCTTATGCTTGCCCCTTTAATCCATCTCCACCAGCTTCCCAGGCAGTTCAGACATGGCTACCACACCAACAGGCCACCTGGGGTAACCCTTAGGCTTTCTGCCCATCCCGGGAGCAAGCACCCTTCAATTCCCCAGCATGATGGCTTTCTCCTCCAGGAACAATTCTCCCTGCATATCCTCCCTTGCTCTCTCATTGCTATTTAAATTATATGCCTTTCCTACAATTCTCTAATTCTACTCATGCTAATTAGTTGTGAGCATAGTTCATTTTTCCCTAATAGATTAAAACTCCTTAGAGACAGATGCTATATTGAATTCATTTCTTTGGTTTACCCCTCTCCTCTTGTGTCTGGCTGGGGGTTTAGCTTTAAACTTAGTAAGAGTACAATGAATAACTGTTAAAAATCAAATTTACCTTGGTTTTCTATAATATAGGTAACGTATGAAACAGATCAAATAACGTCTACACAGGTCACCTCATTCCATCCGTTGGCAAACCTCATGGAACATGGTTACCATTCTCCCTCCATCTGTATCACCAGGCTCACCATAGCCAAATCCAGCCAGCAGAAATATAAAACCAAACTGACAAAACCAAGGGTTTCAGTTTAGTTTGGTTATTTAAAGAGGTTAAATTACATAAGCAAAAAAGCAAGGGGTCACAGCTATTATGTTTCCCCCAGGAAAACTAAGGAAGGATTGTTTGGGGTCAGAAAAGGTGAGGACAAGATAAGGAAGAAGAAAGGGAGCTTCCAGTAAAGATCAGAACCAAAAGGGTGATGGCCAAGTCCCTAGTGAGTTCCCTGTCATGACAAGAGAGAAGAGACACCGCATTCCTTTTATGGAATGAGAAGCCCAGATACTTCTGAGATAAATGGTCATTATAATTCTAGAGGGGCCTAGAGCCCTGCTCATGGCTCAAGGTCAGCAGGGACCACAGTATCTGGGAGTGGAGGGGAAAGAAGGGCAGGAGGAAGAGGATCGCTATGAACGTCAAGTTCCAGCAGGACCATAAGAAACAGGGTAAAAATCACTCCAGAAAGTGCTCATGGGAAAGGCTGTGCTCTTCTGACAAGTCGAGCACAATCAGTGATGAGGAACCAGGTCCAGATGGGGTGGTGATGGGTGGATTAGGGGAAGAAAGTTTCCCCACACACCCCTGTGTAACTCAACCTCTATTTATTGGCCAAGGATACCAGGACAGAATTTAGTTGCCCCCAAATCAAGTTCCAGGGAGACAAGAGTCACAAGGGTTGGTGGGAAAAAATAAAAATAAAAAATTCCAAGAATCAGATCTCAGCCAGCAGGGGGAGGAGAAGCCATTTCTGCTAGAGATGTAAGATACTCTCTCTGAAAGAGAGAGAGAGAGAAAAAAAATCTATTATGAACCTGCTAAGTACAAATCTAATTCCAGTTTAAAGATGAGAGGTTCTATCCAGAAAATCCTCCTTTCTAAGGCAGTGTGGAGAGGATGCTATCTCTTCTCAATTTCTAATTGAATCACCCTTTTCTTTGGGGATCACAGAGAGGAAAATATTTTTTCTCTCCAAGGCCAGGCAGGAAACTGGGGTGCCCAGGAGGCCCCTTGCACCTGGGCCTGGCTGTCTAGCCCTCACACACTCCTTTGCCCAGGCTTTTTCATACTTTTAACATTAGTCGCAGGTTGCTCCAGACAGGAGCAACAGAAGGCAGAGCCCAACTGGCACCAACTCCAGCTCCTCCCTGCTCTTCAGAAAGACCTGGGAAGAAATGGGGGCTGTTTGGGGCAAACCTGCTAGAGCCTCTACTCCCTCTCAGGGCTGCCTAGCCTCTCTGAGCCCAGCAAACACATCTCTATTGCTGCCATGCCAGGGCTCACCCGACATGCACGGAGGCTTCACTGTCGTGGGGAGGGGCATGGACCTTGGGATTGTGAACATGCTTCTCTAACCCCTGTGGCCCCAAGCAGTACCTGCCAAGGCCTTGATCCGGGACCTCTCAAAGAGCCTGGCTGAGCTGTTGTCATTATCCAGCTCATCTTCCGGGGCGTCCCAGCGGGCATTGATCCGGCTGTACGGTGGCTGGTTGCCCACGTTTTCAAACTCCGTGGCTGATGTCATGCCAGCAGGTTCTTAGCAGCTACGTGGGCCTCAGTCTTCATGGAAGGGTCCCTAGGGGACAGCAACACAGTCAGAGGGTTAGCTCCCCGCCCCCTCTCACTTTTCCTCAGGGGAAACTTGTTCGGAGCATCCGACAGCAGCAGATCCTGGCGGGAGCATCATGCCGGGTCCTCTGCTGGGGCATGCCTCCTACCCGGGGTCTCTGGGTCATGAATTATAAAATATTGCAGCAGCAGCAGCAGCAACAGTAACGGCAGTGGTGGCGGGGACAGAGCCGGAGAGCTGCAGGCAGCAAGGGTCAGGATGGCCAGCAGGTGGAGACGTCAGTCAGTCGCAGTGAGCCCATTTCCTCCAAACCCGCTGCCTCCGCCCCAGGAAGCAGCGAAAGGGGCAGCTCTCTTGGGAGCCAGAGGCTGGTGGGGGACGAGCTGGGAAAAGCAGCCCCCACCCTGAGTACCGGGGCCAGGAGCTAGTGTGGGGGGGAGAAGAGAACAGACAAGGAGAACAGAGAAGCTGGAAATCGGCTGAGTTCGACTCAAATAGGAATTGGGGTGGAGGGGTAGGGGGATGGAGGTGAGTCTCAAACTGCCACTGATGCCACCAGTCCAGGCAGCTGCCTGTGCTGGGGGGAGTCTGCTCCTCACTGAGGCTGCTCAAGAGTCTTCAGTTCTTTCCTGGGCACCCAATATTCCGAAAGCTGAGCTCTTGTTTTCTGCCCTCTTTGAAGTGCGCCCAGGTGCTGGAACAAGATCTCCTGTTGAATCCCAGGTCAGGCCAAATAGCCCGGAGGAGCCTGTGGTCCATGAGGGCCATCAGCATGAGGGGCTGAGACTGGTGGAGAGGGAGTCCACCGGCAAGAATGGGGCCATGGGTCAGTTACCTCTGCAATGAGCATGGGCATCAAAAGCATTGCCCACCCAGGACTCATTTTTGCTTGCTCATTCATTCATTCATTCATTCACAATGAACTCAAATATGTACCAAGCCCAAATGAGGAGGCAGACACTGTGCTAGGCAATTATGCATAAGACAAGAAGGGTCATGTCCTGGGCTGGACATGTGTCTTAAAGGCAGAGCACTTGCCTAGCATGCATAAGGCACTGGGCTTGATCCCTAGGACTGCTTGCATGCGCGCGCACGCGCGCACACACACACACACACACACACACACACAAGACCACATCCCTATAGAACTTATGCCCTGGCGGGGGCAACAGTTAATTAAATGAACCATTACAATGAAGTGTGCTGTGTGCCACTACTGGGAAAGAGCAAGGTAAAGTGGGGACGGGGTGTCAAGAAGGAAAGTTTAAGGTGATTGCTAAAGGAAACTTGGAAGTACCCATAAGGGACAGGTAGAAAGGGATAGGAATCCAAATGAAGGGAATAAAGAGTGGATGCAGAGTTCTGCAGCCCAGAGCAAACAAGACTGAGGAGGCTTAAGAAGAAACTAGAGAGTGAAGGAGGGTCAGGGAAGAAAAGTGAGACGGTGGCTGGAGGGGCCTGCTGGCTCTCAGTTGCTCTGAGCCTTTTGAAAATGACTGGTTATCTCATCTGCACCTGCCATTCAGGTGTCTCCTTGGAGCTTGGACTCAGAGAGAGTCTGTAAGAGAGAAAAGGGGGCCCAGAGCCTTCAAATCCAAAAGAGCAAAAGAAAGGTGGGGGCTGGAGGCAGGGTGGCAGGCAAATGACCAATGTTGACAATCAGTGACACACATCTCATTCTCACACACATAGACTCACATCCAACACACCAACACACACACACCCAAACAGGAACACACACAAAAAAAAGAAATGAGGTCCACTGGCCAGCTTGAGCAGAGCTGCAGTGCTGTAGCCCTTGCTCCTCAGAGTTGGAGTCACTTCGGACTCTTCTTCCCCCAATCTGACTAATCAATCCCACCACATCCTTTTGAGGTGAGACAGGAGCCAGAATTATCCACCTAATAATTGCACAAGAGAGAAAACAGGCCTAACACAGGATGAGGCCTCCCCAAGGTCATCGAGGAATGACTGCTTTGCTTAGACCAAAGACCAAACTGTAGCCTGGTTTGTCTCCCTCCACTGGAGGGCTTTTAGGGACACAAGGAGGGAAAGAACATGGCCCCTGTGGACCATTCCCAGCTGCTAGGGATGGGCAAAGGTGTCTGCCACTGGGGGAGGGGAAAGTGCAGGGTGTGGAAAGCAGATATCACCCTCAACACTGCATTTCCCACCATGCCAGGCCAATGCCCAAGCCCACCCTTGTCCTCTGAATAGCTGTCCTCCATAGAGGACTTGATGCTTCCAGGACTGAGATTTCCCACTCAACTGGCTGAGCAAAGAGACCTGGGAAGCACCAAGCTCCCCAGGGCGTCCCCCCCACCCCCCCACCCACCCCTGGTCCCTTGAGGGGAACTACTACTGACTTGAGGTCAGAGCTAGAGGGACTGACGGGCTAACCACCTCCTGCAGGGCCATGATCCTGTCCAGCAGCCCCTGAGGAGGGCGGAGCTGCCAGACACAGACGGTGGTGGCGAGGTGAGATCAGCCCCTGAGCACAGGAGGTAACCAGACCCTGGCGCGTGCTTGCTCTCTCTCTCTCTTTCCTCTCTCTCTCTCTCCCTCTCTCTCTCTTCATCCTGGGCTATTTTTAAGAGTGGCCGAGAGAGGCCCAGGCTGCCGGGCCAGGGAGTGAGATTACCTTAGCCATGGCTCCGTAAATAAGTTTGTCCCAGAAAGATGAGCCTGAGCCCGCAGACCAGCAGAACCAGCGTTCAAGGCAAGATTGATGGCCCAGGGTGCAGAAGAGCAGCAATTCATCCTGCTTAAAACGCCACCCTTCTTGAGACCGCGGCTCAGAGAAGGCAACAGCCAGGCAGTGGCTGTGCCGGGAATGTGAAAAAAAAAAAAATGTGTGTTTAAATACACAACTGTTTGTTTGTTTTTGCAAGGGTCAGTTCCCTGAAGGTAAACACCAAAGAAAGAAGATTCAAAAATGAAAGTAAGGCCCTCTTGCTCCTCCTGTCCCCACCCCAGGCCCACCCCAGCCCCTGCCCAGATGGCAAGGTGGGGGGCAGGATGTGCTCAGGCAAGGAAGCTCTCGGAGAATCAGGTGGGAGAAGCAGAAAGGAAGAAAACCGGAAAGCTACATACAGATGGTTATTCCAGAAAGAAAACCCCTAAGATGTGCCTGAAACCAAATTCAACCCTGCTTTCTCAGTGTCAACCATGTCTATTTCCATTACCGTCAGAATGGCCCTTCAAAAGCCCAACTATAAAGAAACCACCGTGACTAAAAAGAATAGTATGCATTGGGGAATTATGGAGGGGGCACCTAAACAGATGAGGAGCCTCGGAAATGACATTCAAGTTGAAACCTGAGGGAAAATTAGAGATGAGATGATCTGGTCACATTTTCAAGGATGTAAGTAATCTGTGCATCTAGAGTGGCCCTCCATGAGTCATAGAGGACCGCAAGTACATGGCTAAAATTAGTCCTCATGCCCCTGTTAGCAAACTCAGGGGATAAAAGGCATATGAAGTAGCTCTTTGTCCATTCATTCCCCAATGCACCCTCAAGCCCCCAAGAGGTCCTCCTCTTAAGCCACCAGATCCCCTGTCAAAGTGTAAGATGGGTATTCCCTGGTCTGTGTGACTCCATGCCCAGGGGAGTTCACCTGCCTTGTCTATCCACCTTCCTGTCTAGCAGCTGAGCAGTGCCATCTCCAGCCCCCTTTATCTGTGAATTTCTGCCACCCCCTGTCCCCAGGTTTTATTTTGTGTAGGATGGGGCCCTATAAACTTGTACATCCACAGAGCAATTCTGAAAAGCTCATCTGATTGCATGGGGCGCTCAGTCTCTAAAGGGATGCTTACTTGGTAAACGGGTTTCACAACATCACTGATGCAACCCCCAGCTCTGCCCTTCATGCTTGTCCCCAAAACCAAGAACCCAATGGCCACTGGGTTGAGTGCTATGCCTTGCAATCTCAGCCTCATGTGCACCTCACTGAGGTGGTGAGAGGAAGTGGTAGTGGCTGCTGCGCTCTCCCTGCCAGGCCAAGCTAGGTCTCACATCAGTCCTCCCCACAATTCAGAACAGAAGGGACACTCTTCTCCCCTCTCCTAACCACCCACCCCCTAACAAAGTAACTGGTATCCCCTTCTTTTCCATGGGCCACACATAAGCGAGAAGCAATAAAGCACAGATCCACTTCAGCACTGGGGAACGGGAGCGAAAGACGGTGATGCCACTCTTCTTTAGTGGGGCTGAGGTATAGGTCCATGCAGCCCTAACATCCTTAAAAAGAATTTAGATCCACTTTTTATTTTCACCCTACCTGTAAGCTTTGTCCCCTCCCTTGCTTTCTGGTTTGACCTGTCCCTTATGCTACCCCAAACCTGCTTTTAACTTATTTGGGTTCCATGGCAACCCAAGGCAGGAGATTAAATCCTGAAGTTCCCCTGGTAACTTTTCTGCCAAAGCAGCACCAACGAAGGAACAGCCCCCTTCCACTTTCTCCGATCATAATCTCACCGAATATTCAGACACCTTAAAGAACAAATACACACACACACACACACACACACACACACACTTGCTAAAACAGACACCATGCGGTCACCAAGTTCTTCCTCTAAATCTGCTTGCAGTCCTAACCTGCTCTCCAGCCCCATGCATTAGTCTGGCACTTCCATCCTCCTACCAGTCATCTCCACATAGAAAGTACAGCTCAGTCTTCATATGGCTAAGACTGAGTACATGGCTTCCAGGACAGCAGAATGGGGAAGTTCTACCACCATAGGGTGACAGTGAGGCCCAGGTAGCCATGCCAACTGTGGGTGGCCCTTCCAACAGGTGGACATCACCAGCGATGCCTGGATAAGCCATTCCTCCTCCCCAGAGCACATTCTGCTCTTCTGCGTCCTGCGATTCCCATGCTAACCCAGCCAGCTACTAGTCCATCAGCCACAGGACACGGTTTAGGGTTCTGAAAGCCCCAAGGTTCCTGTGCATGGCT